GTCCTCGAGTTGGCCGGCAACGCTGCCCGTGACAACAAGAAGACCAGGATCATCCCCCGTCACCTACAACTTGCCATCCGCAACGACGAGGAGCTGAACAAGCTTCTCGGAGGTGTGACAATCGCCCAGGGTGGTGTCCTCCCGAACATCCAATCCGTCCTCCTGCCCAAGAAGACGGAGAAGACAACCAAGGCTTAAAGCCGCAGTCCCACTGAGAACGTGATGACGGCCCTCTTCAGGGCCACCACAAGTGATTGTGTCCTGGCTTTGGCCTTACCCGATTGTCGTTTCGAAGGGGCGGGGTGACCGTTAGCGTTAGTTAGGGCTGGGACGCCTATGTTGTCGTCGTGGGGGCCCGGTGCAACCCATTCGGGCGTAATTTATGTCACATAGTTTCGCTCATCTAGCCGGTGAGCGGCGATTTTCTGTATCCGGCCGAATCGCCCATGGGAACGCCGGCTCGATGTGTGGGGACATCAACTGTGGCACGAGAAGGGGTCTGAGCTAGCATGTTGTGGCGGCAGACTATTGCCCTTGGAAAGGGTCCCGGAACCTGGTGGGTGGTGAGGCAACAAGTATCTTCCTACTTCTACCTTCTGTCGACGACCAGCCTCCGATCTGCCACGGGCGGTCCGGTGGCCATGTGCGACAGACGTCTGGCCGGCTGTCGGTCTGCTTGGTCCGTTTGGTGTCTTGACGGGGGTCTGTGACAGGGGCGCCGGCGTGGCTCATCGTTTGTGACCTTTGTTCACTCGTGAACGTGCATCTCTAGTTCATCCGCTGATCCCGTCAAATGATCGATTGTTCATGTCAGACCAGCGTGGGCACCACGCCGCACCGCTGCTCGCGCCCTTTTGACCAGACGACTTCTGACCCACAAGCAAACGACCCAACTCGCGACAACCTATCATGTCTACGGAATAAATTGGCCCTCGCTGCTATCTGACTTCCGTCATAGGACGGACCAAACTTACTGTTTGTGGCTAAAGTTGATCTGATATCCTTCGACGTCCATAACGTCTAGGGCAACTCGTTTAGCGAGCTCCAGAAGTGCGGAGGCACATGTAGGAGGACAGCATGATTTGGAGCCAAGATTGTCCGACGAGACCTGTGCGGTAAATATGCCTTGACAGCGTGGGCATGATAAAAGTGGTCGGGTGTTTGGGGTTGGGGGTTCGCGAGACTTGAGACTGACGGGCCGTGCTTTTGATTTTGGTGATGGCGATACTGTTGGTTTCGTAGATTGCTGATGCCGCCGTCATTGCTGTTCTCCAGACTCGTTGATCCTGAGCGAGATTCTTCCAGGTCTCCGGGTTGATTTTAAGACTCTTGAGAAACATTTCAGAATATCCTTGCGGTGTCGTTTTTGTCCTCCCTCTAGAAGAGCCCGAGGGAGGAGGTCGTAGAATAGCCATTTGTGCAGATGCTCGTCTTCCATCCTCACGACGTGGTAGGCAACAGTGATGAATTTGCACCAGCATGACGTGGCTGTTAAGGACATCGTGTCTGGTACTTATTAACCTTGCCATCTCGGCTTCAGCACTCACCGAAGGCAGTTGAGGTCGAAATGGTTGGGCTTCTTAGCTTGGTTTTGGTGCACCGGTCGTGTTTCTGTCCGACAGAACAGTGTTGTCACGATGTCGGCACGGTATAATTTCCTTTTCGGTATCTTCAAACTATCCTTTTGGCCTTGGCTTCTCTTACTCAATGGCCCTATTCATTTATCTGCCTTCGATATCTTGCCTAGCTCCGCAGAATAGCGGTTTTGCATTCTGGCTTGTAATGCCAAACGACTGTAGACCCTAAGCTGTAATGCTCCTTTTCTATTTTGTAGATGTAGATCTTATTTTGTCAAGGATATAACCAGAGACTTGGTTGTGTTAACGTTCCGTCAAACAACCCATATTCGGCATTTCCGGCAGCCTGGCCATTTCATAGTCTACGTCGCCCAAGAGGGAACTTGTTTATGGTGATTCTTGAGAAACCGAACTGAACGATAGACCTCTTGAGCCAACCCTTTTACCCAATTGACCACTAACCTCATGCGGATATAATCAGGCGCCTATTCCCAAGGCAATGCCTAGTGTAGCTTCTCCTGGTGTTCTTCTAAGAACCCTAAGTTAAACAGTGTCCCTCGCTCTCCTGTGCATTGCTTCCGCATCCGCATGTCCAATATAATCCCAGCAGGAATGCTCCTCTTGAGAAAGTGAACTTTCCTGATCCTCAATGTAATCTCGGCTGAAATGATTGGCAATATCCTACGTGGGCCTTCCCTGTACAGGGTCAACGAGCACATTGTGGTGTTCATCTTCCCTCTCTGTTCTTCCCTTCTCCAGCACCTGCATCCATGCACCAGAGTTGAACTTCGATACTGCAATTATTTCACAAAATCGGACGGGAAGATGCAATATCTGTTTTCCGTGAATTGTCGAACACAGGATGACTAAGTTTCCTTCTCTCAGAAACATATAGTTCGCTCCCGAAATTTCCGTACAAAACACCAAGTCCATGCCAAAATATGGTGTCTTCGTTTCCGATTCTGGTGTTCGGCAACCAGCCAGACATTGATTAGGTAGCTGAGACGTGGCCAACGCATTATGTTTATTATCAGAAACAGTAAGACTACTCAAGCGTCAATGGCACGGCAAGGTAGCTGCGGGTGGTCATATACAAGGCGGAGAGGCTTTATTACAAGGACACTTTGAAGACTTTCCTCAAGCACCTGTAGGTCAACCCACAGACCTCGGGGAGCCTTGCTCGTGATCGACAGACATGGCGCACTTAAGTATAGTCCAGAGCAACTGTCTCCAAAGCCAACCGAATGGCCGCTTCCAAAGCAGGGAGGAAGACCCACAAGACTCAAATACTACGAACCAGTGACCCCTGCATTCAAACCCTGACATTGTGTCCACGCTGTTGACGGAAGTTACGGACACGGATATGCCTTGTTAGTCCGTTAGGGACCCAGTGCAGTGTCGACACGACCAACCTTTTTCAACTCAAGACATCACCTTCACCGCCGCAGCTGGCAACACGGGTGAGGACACTCCTACCTCCCTGACAAAACACCGCCGTCGTCAGCAATATGGAATCAAATTAAACCTCTGCATATTACGACCTCATCTTCACATTACTCACAGGCCTGGCCGGTCGTTCGCGAATCCATGGCACCACGCCGGTGAACCAATGTTTGTAGACCCTACATACACTCGTCACCGCGTCGCACTTTACCGCAATGCTGCAGGATATTCAGACACTGCACGAGTCTGAGCGACCATATGCGTATCAGTAACAGTGGTACTCACCGCAGTGTCATCACGACAGACATACCACCTAAACCCTCTAGTCCTCTGCCACCAATATTAGCAAATTAACCACCATCGTCAAAATCACCGTAACCATCAGCTCGGGAACCACAGTTTCATGCTTCTTAGTTTGATGTTTGTGCACTGTCCATGTCTCTTTCGTGCACTGTACATAGGTTGTGCAAACTGTGCTGTAATTGCTGTTTTGCTGTCGACTTTATTAGAGAGAGAGAGAGAGAGAGAGAGAGAGAGAGAGAGAGAGAGAGAGAGAGAGGGAGAGAGAGAGAGAGAGA